CGTAGAGAGCCAGCTCTGCAATGTAGGTCGGCCTGAGCTCAAGATGGTCTGATTCCAAAACTCAGTAACAAGAAGCTACTAGTAACAAGTGCATCGCTTCTAGTAACAGGTGCCTTACTAGTAGTAACAAGGACGCTACTAGGGGCTCCTGGCCGCTCTCTATAATTCTCCGAAAGTTCCCTCGGACACTCACTATACAGCCCGCAACACACTGGTTGAATAGATCTGTTGCCACAACACACTCAATAAAAATGAGGCCATGAGGCCAACCACAATAGTTTATACCAGTTTAGGTCTCTTAAGTCTAAGTCTCACACACGTGCTCCTCAGCAGCTTCATGCAGGTCCTTGCTCGAAGCCTGTCGAACACCAATGCTGATCCTTGTCGGTGGTCTGCTACATACAAAGCGTAAAACTCACTAGTACAGCTGGTCTGGGAGCATGTGCAAACTACCTCTTCTCACGATTCTCACTCTTTTCAATATTCTCTTCTTTCACTGGTAAACCCGGTCTGCCAATCCATGCCTGTGCACGTGATAACGCAGGCATGGTGCGCATCCTTGCGAAATCTGGCTTCACCATAGAAACAGAATTGAACTGAAATGTTTCAAGAACTGCTACAATTCCCAGAACTTCCATGTAGAATCAAACTGCTTGGCATCAATCTGCTTGGCTGGGGATTGAAATTCCTCCAAAGCCCTGAGGCCCTAGCCTGATCTTCTTTGGATCCTTGGAGAAAAAGAAGCAACTCCCTTTCCAGGACAAAGATCGTTTGAATGCGGTGATTTGGGACATGTCGATGTTCTGAATCGAAGAACGGGGGCAATGAGTCCCGAGGTTGCGCGGTTGCGCAAGCAATATGATTGAATCACACGGCCAACACAGCATTGCTCTGCTAAGTCAAGGGTTATATAGTGGTATGTACGTTATGTGTCTTTCGCTTGCGCTGATCAGCAAAGCTTGGCAGTCCTTGGCCCCTCTCCGATCGGCTTCAGAGCCTGGGCCAGTGGCGGGTGCAAACTCTCAACAAAAAATGTATGACTCAAAAAAGAGAATAGAGAGAATATATGAGAATATGAGAAATGTTGGGTGAAAACAATGGGAAACCAGCACTTAATTTGGGAATTCGGCAAAACAATACAAAATGGAGATGTTCACAGGAACAATGTTGGTTGCATCACCAGCCACTTGTCAAAGAGGTGCTGGAACTGAGATGGCATCTTGTTGTTTTTAGAAATGATTCTGGCCAAATGTCTGCATCTGTCGTCTAAAAAAACAAAATGCATGCAATCTCTTGACCTTCCTCTACACCGGCAATTGAATGCAGGACTGGAGCCTTTGTGCCGTGGTGATTTCCGGTCCAACAAACCTGACTGGCACTAGTTTCACACACAATGCCACTCAGAAGAAGTTGTTTCACAAAGGTGTGATCAGCTGAGTAAGGCTGCGATCCCAATTGCTTCACATTGTCACTACGTGGAGGCAGTGGAGGGAGGTGTTTGAAAGGGTCCGAGGTCTGGCCTCGGAAGAATCACTTTGGTCTTCCGAGTTCAATGCTGGCAACATGACGCACGATGTGGAATGCCATGCAAATCACCGGAAGGAACGATAGGAAACACAGCTGCCTGCGAGCTCGGCAAACTTCTCGTCCTGTGCCTGCCAACTCGGCTATAGAGTTCACCCAAGGGTCCACAAATTGCAACAAAGAAAGAAAAAAGAAATCCAATAACGATGACCTCCAACCCAAGAGCGATGGCTTCCAACCCAAGAGCGATGGCCTCCGACCTAATAGCCATGACCTCCAACCTAATAGCGACGGCCTCCAACCCAAGAGCGATGGCCTCCAACCTAATAGCCATGACCTCCAACCTAATAGCAATGGCCTCCACCCCAAGAGCGATGGCCTCCAACCTAATATATAGCGATGGCCTCCAACCCAAGAGCGATGGCCTCCAACCTGATAGCCATGACCTCCAACCTAATAGTGATGGCCTCCTCCAACCAAATAGCGATGGCCTCCAACCTAATAGCAATGCCCTCCAACCTAAAAGCGACGGCCTCCAACCTAAGAGCGATGGCCTCCAACCTGATGACCTAATAGCGGTGACCTATAGAATACCTGCCAACTCGAGAATGCAGGTCAGCAAACGGTCCACATGGGCAGCTTTTCTATGCTTTTCTTGCTCTTCGATCAATCTCGCTGGGCAGAGATGTCCCACAAGGGGAGGGTCAACGGTAAGAAGCAATCAGCAAATTGAACAACATTGCTTCACAAACAGTGAAGCGGCATAGGGCTGGTCAACTGTTGGATAAGAAGCTCAGAAAGGAGACAAATATTGGGACAACGTTTCGAACAAGAATACTTGGAAGCAGCTACATTAAAGGCCACAAACGCAGGTCATGGCTTGGAGGACGGATTTTGGAGTCTGCTGTGTTGCCGCCACCATTCTGCCGAGCGCGGAGCAACAGCGAATTCTCATCAGGCCTTGGCCGCTGCTGCACGTGCTGCAGACAAGTCCTTCTCAAAAACCTCATAGACCTGCGACGGCGAGTTCAGACTGCGGGATTTTTCTCTGGTTGTTTAAAGCCCGCCCTTTCATAATTAAGTAGTAGGCGTCTACTTCATTATATAAGTAAGGGAGAAGTAAGCTCTCCTAGCTAACTTGGAAGCTCCCAGCTAGGACGCAGGATAGCTCATGCTCGCACTAATTATTTGGTTCCTAGACTTTTGGGGAAACTTAACTTTTGGGCCGACCTAGGGGGTTGTTTATTCAGACTGAGTTGGATTCAAAGTACCTCTGAGTATCTATGCAGTAGTCAGTGATACAACTTACCTGCCTGATTAGTCAATTACAGTAGCAGCTCAAATGCAACTCACAAATGGCCGTGGCCTGCTCCTCACAGGCCTTCCACACAGGCATCAGCACAGGCAAGTACGCTTTCCGCATGATCCTGTCACACAGATCGCCATGTGCTTGACGATGTGCTCGCGGCTCCACACAAGTGTGTCTGTGTGTGTGCGTGTCGATCCTGCTGAATTCAATGCTGGAAGCATTAGAACCGCGGTGAAAACTTCAGGCGACCAACACAATACACCGAAAAAAAAGACTGGCACAACTCGGAAAGAACGGGAGGGCGAGTAGATGGCACCTCGGGACACTTGTTTGGCCCCATTTCAGGGGGGGGTAGATGGCACAATGTTTTTGATGGGTAGTGATTTTGGAGACGGGGCCACCAAAAAGTAGATGGCACAATGTTTTTTACGCTCCCGTGGGGAGTAGGATGGGTGTGCGCTCAGAATTGATGGCACAATGTTTTACCCCCCCAACAGGGTCATGAAAATAATAGATGGCACAAAGGACACGCTCCCACTGGGAGTGGACATTCGTGCGCTCAGAATTGATGGCGCAAGCCATCCAGCCTTTTGATTTCCTGTGGGTTCCTTTCTGTGTCCATTCATGGCTATGGATTTCCTGTTGGTGCCTA